TATTTGTTTTCTCTTCAAAGAACTTAATTTATTCCGTATAAAATCTATTTGGTTGGCAACTATTTATGTCTAAGCTCATTTGCTCCATGATAGGGATTTACTCCTGTCATTGAAGCTTAGCTATCGATAATTGTTGTCAACAATATCTAATATGATATCCGACATTGAACAACAATATATAATAGTAATATATGATACATGATCTTCGATTCCAGTAAGTTCAGGACAAGGGAAATACAATTGAAAATATAGGGGAGACCGGGGTAACTTCGGCATACGGGGCAAGTTTGTCAAGCGCTTTTTTTTAAAAACAAATTAAAAGGAGACTTTGGTTATAGGTTAGGCAGTTGAGTTTTATTGGTGGCTTGTTGAGTGTAGTGTTTTTATTGTTCTCCAACAAGCGTAGTTGAATTATCAAGCAAATTTTCATTTTCGTTCAATTCCATATAATATTTTTTTTCCATTTATATTGAATTGGCAGGTTTTGTTATAATTCCATGATAACGAAAGTTACTTTTCCTGTTAGAAGGATGTAACTTCAACTTATTCACGTGGCCAGATCGTGGCTTGGCATTCTGTTCTCAGGGTTGTACTTAATGTTTCGAAATCATGACTAGCGGGGTAAGATCGGCAACATAAAGCCACATTAGAAGCAAAGGATAAAAATCAAACAGATGATAAATGAAAACATGTTTGCATTTGTTATTCATGTATATATGTCTTTGAACTTGCATTTCGTTGTAATAATATTAAATGGGTGTTGGATTTGTATTTCTTTGTTTTAATAGTGAATTCCAACTTATACATTGTTAATAACATAATTTTATATACGTGCCTATCTTGCCCCATTACTGTTGCCCCTATACCAGGGGCAACTTTAATAAAAATAATTAAAATAATTACAACTTTACAAAAAGAGAGAAGTTGCCGATCTTGCCCCTATACCCGGGGCAACTTCGTCAATTTCTCTCTTCTTGTAAAGTTGTAATTATTTTAATTATTTTTATTTCCAAACTGATTTTAACCAGTTCTATAGTAAGGTAACATTCCAATAGACAATATGCAAAGCTTTTTTTTCAGTTTACAGCAGTATTTATTACACAAAATTTAAGTAAAGCTTAACATGCCGATCTTGCCCCGGTTTCCCCTATATTTAATTTAAATACATTAATACTCAATTTAAATGCAACTTATACCTATTTTGAATTAATTAGTGTAGTTGTATGTATTTATTAATTAGACTAATTATATTAATTATAAGTTTTAAAGATATTATTGATTTACTTTTTTTTACTAATTTTTATTTCTGTCAAATTTTTATTAGGGAACTGTTACTTCTATAGTTTTCTTAATGAGGATTACTTGCTTATAGGCATTTGCTTTGTAGGTGTATAGAATAATGAATATTTAAACAGACTTGTCATGTAAAAACCTGGCTATAACTTTTAAAAAATTAAAAAAATTAAAATTAATCAGCAATAGCGATGGACAAACCCAAGATCAAAGCTAAAATCATACGAGCTTTTACAAAGCTCGAAGAAAAGCGACCCGTGACCAGGATCGCGCAAATATTCGTTAATTTCATTAGTAGATATCAATTATTTTCGCTAGCAAACACTAAACCTTTTCGTTATTGATCACGTCTTTGTTATATCTTGCAAAAATTTTTTAGCAATTTTATTCAATTGAATATTTGATAATATACGGAATATTTCAGTATTAATAACGAAGAAACAGTTTTAATCATTCCCAGCAAAAAAATTCAGTGCGTTTTGCTATTATTTTGGATATTTTTCAACATATATAAATTACGTAACAGTAGCTGCCTAAAATATGAAAAATTGTTTACTTTAGTTTATTAAATATCTTAAGAGTTAATCAACTATATGAACAGAAAGAAAGACACCATAAATTTTTTTTCCAAATGACCACATTAGTTCTGTATTATCTCAAATTTAAAAGCGTACAGACTTTTCTCTTTTGCTGTAGTATCGTCATGGGATCGACATACTTGTGCATGCAGACTGAATAGCTTATGCCGATGGACAAATCCAAGAACAGAATAATAGATACAACAGGAATAATAGCTTTATCTCTCAAACAGGTGGAGTTCTCTCTCATTATCATCATCTTGTTCAAGGTTACTCTGGAAACATATCAGTCACCTCGATATATTTGCTGTGTTGCTGCCGCTGATCACAACTTTGAATTTCCTACCTGACAACATGGAATTTTTTTTTATGAAGGAACTCATTTACAAGCCTCCTCTTCTTCTCTTTTGACTATATATGTTAAAGGAATTAGAGTTGCCGATTTTTCGGGGGACGATTTCTCTGCTCCCCAAACGTCTAAACTAATTGTCAATGTCTTTTTGAAAAGATAATTATTTTTTTAGGTAGTGTAATCGCTTTGTAAAAAATTTCAAAATTTTTTATAAAGCGGTGGCCGAAATATAATGTGAGCTCGCGGATTTTTACAGGATTCTTAAAACATAAATTTTCTGTTAATTATCTTCGGAAAAAACCCGAAAAATTTGTATTAGATCGGATTTCACCGATTGTATAACGACTAGCTGAGAAAGTTTACACTTATGTGTGAAGAATGCACTATCATCGTCAACAAAAGTCGATGACGTGTCAGCTCTCTCGCGACAAGGATATAAAAAAAGAGACCTCCGGAAGCTTAGGGCGATTCGTCATAGGAAGTTATACTTTGTGATAGTGCCTACCTCGACTCCTGAACCTCCATACAGCGTACTTGATCCAGCTAAGCTACAGAGAGAGGACATCGAAGACACCACACTCTTCCATACAGAAGACGTTCGTCAACTCTCCCTTCCACCGAGAGGTATTTAGGGGTTAGAATTTGTAAAAGCGCTCTCTCCCGAACTAGAAATTAGGTCAGCGACATAGCTAAGAAATTCGTCGCCAATTTCTGTAAATATTTTATTATAACCGCATTTAACCTTAGTAGTAAGTTCGCCTCTTGTAGTTTAGATTTGTTGATTCAATAAATGCTTTGTTATTTTGTTAACCTGTCTCCTGTCAATTAAGGACGCCTGCCGACTTACCGACGCACTCCCCACTCGATTTGCCCTCCTAGCCATCCAACGACCCCGAGATCGGGTTTTACCTGTCCATGCAAGTAAGTGGTCAATTGGGACTTACCCAGTGGCCCACTGCTTATCTCACAATAAGCAATTAAAAAAAAAATTACCAGAAAAGCGATATTTTCTTCTTCTTCTCCTTGACCCTGAACTGCAGACGTTCGTACTACTGGGTCTAGAAAGCTCAAATTTTATACCTTTCTCGTGTCAGTGAGATGTTAGCGAAAATTACGGGTCGCGGAGTTCACGTAGTTTCTCATAGAACTATTTCAGTTTTGTGGCTTACTTTTATATTTATGAGGATAAAATTGCACGGAAAGAAATAAATTTTATTGAAAACGTTACTCAGAAAAACAAAAGCTCAAATTTGTGAGAATTAAGACTTTTTATAACGACTTTTCTAAACGGCGTGCCGTTTAGAAAAGACTGGCCGTTTCGATACGCCGCGGCGTATCGAAAGGGCCAGTCGTCGGCGACGCGTCCGATCGACGCCAACCGAAAAAGATAAGCTTGGCACTTTGAAGTAAAATGTAGAAAAGAATGATACAGGACAAAATCTTGAAAGTACCATTCCAAGTGCCAAGCTTACCTATATCAAAGAAAAATCGCCCAAGGAAAATTTTGATTTTCGTCTAAATTGACATAAGATTTTACTCGGATCAATTTTCTTACATCTCAGATGTTTTTTGATTTTTTTTAAATCTATAAATCTATTTAGCAAGATTGATTAAAATCACGTGGTTCATATCGTTAATGGTGGCAAAATGCTTACAGTATATTAAAAGATGACTATTTTCCCAATTAATTTAATTAAAGTTATGATAATTCCTATAGAAGGCAATTAAATATTTACGGAGAACTAAATTTATATATAAACTTTTTATTATATAATTATGAAAATTTTAACTATATTATATACAGTAATTATTAATATATCAATTTAATTAATTCATTATAACAAAGTAACAATGAATATAAATTTTAAAATTATGTAAATGAAGTATTCCTCGTTAAAATTGATAATTATTTTATTAAATATCTTCACTTTTCAAAGTAAATAAAAAATATTTTATCTGAAGCTAGAAATTTGTTATAAGTTCGTTATTTTCTTTTATAAACTTATAAATTTCGTCTTATATATAATCCTTAATAAACTATGTTTCTTTGTTTACAGTATTGAGAGTAAAACTATAAAGGATGAGTTTTTTCTTAAAGTTTAAAAACTAAAAAACAGTTTTTTTAAGTAGTCCATAAGAGAAGTGCCTAAAGGTGATACAAAAATTTTTGGCTGAACTTTTAGATTAAAAACAGATCTTGTAATAATATTTTTCTAATGAAATAGCGGATAGACGAGAGAAAGGCTATGAGGTTAGAAATGATTCATTTATTTCTAACTTCGTAACCTTGATTCATAATTTCAGTAAAGGATTTCTTTATGTCTCTGAAAGTTAATTGATATAGTAATAAATTCTCTAAAAATATAAAAGTTATTTAACGTTAATCTTTACGTACATTCAAATAATTCTTCTTCTTTAATGTACAGTACTGTTTTTAAATATGACATTTTATAACTTGAGAACAAATATTTCATTTAATATTAAAAATATAAAATTAAATATTTGTATTAAATATATAGGAAATAAATTATCTTTAATTTTAAAATTCACTTTATGAGTATTTTTTAAATTTAGTAAAATAATTCGTCGACTATTTTATTTTAATTATTTTGATATTGAATAAGACATTTAAATTCCAAACATAAATTTATTCATGTCTGGAATTTTTAGGGATGATTTTATTATTATTTAATTAAAATTAAAATGGTTAAAACAACGTTTTTTATTTGAATTGTTTTAATGTTTATTTTAAATTAATAAATGGATTATATTTTCAGGTTTTGAGCGTAACATTCCTGGTTATCCAAGATATTTTATGGTTGTAAATGCAATTCAGGGTGTATATAATCTTCGAATAGAAAGTGTACGTTTAGAAGACGAAGCAGAATTTCAATGTCAAGTGAGTTAAAGAAAAAGTATTTGACATATTTAGAATAATAGCATAATTACCACATAAGATATCTGTGACCAAATGGCAAATTTTATGTTTAGTAACAATATACTTTGTTAATTAATACATTACTGTTAATTTTATTGAAAATTTATAATTACAAAGATTTTTGTTTGTTTAAGGTTGGTCCAAGTGAAAATCAAAAGCCAATTAGAGCAGCTGCTCGATTAACTGTTGTGAGTGAGTATTCACATTTTTCTTTAAAACTCTGCTAAAAAGTATATTACTGAAAAAAATTAGAATATTTTAAATTATAAAAGTTTATTCTTTATTCATATTAAATAGTTTTAATGCTTTGTTTAATGTTAGCTTACATAGAATACATTTCCTATTATGTATAGTATAATGTAATAAAATTTTTAAACGAAATTTAATTAATTATTAGAATAAACTGCATTAATTTTTTAAATTGTCAGCGCAAAGAATGATTTAATTAAATATATATATTATTATATATTTTAACTTTTAGTTCCACCCAAAGATATTACAATTAATGGCCTTCCAGATGGAGAAGAAGTGATGGTTCGTGAATCACAAAGATTAGTTCNTTATATATTTTAACTTCTAGTTCCACCCAAAGATATTACAATTAATGGCCTTCCAGATGGAGAAGAAGTGATGGTTCGTGAATCACAAAGATTAGTTCTAACTTGCAAAACGAGAAGAAGCAAACCTCCTGTAGAAATGAAATGGTATAGAAGATCTGTAGAACTTGTTCCAGGTATTTCAATTTAACTTAAACATTCTTCATAATAAATGTAGGAAGTAATTGAATCGAATGAATTCAGAACCCTATTTGAGAAACTTTGTAAATATACTACTAACAATACATAAGTTTTAACTACTTTTATCTGACTAAAGAGTTAAATTCACAAAAATATATTAACGCTTAGAATTTAAAATTATCTTAAACATTTAAAAAATTAATTACTATCAGTTTTAGCTTATAAAAATTTTTTAATCATTATTAACGAAAAAAATATAATAATGTAAACTGGATGAAAAAAATTTTTCGAAGAAAGAATTTAAATAACTATTAACTGAAAACCTGTTTTAAATGTTTTAAGTTAGTTTTTAAGTAATCAGTAGGCCTAATTCTTACAAAAAAGAAATCATATAAAGATTTAAATTATTGTTTATTTATTGAAAAAGTTGATCACTTAATTCTTACTAAATAATTATTTTTTAATCGGGATATTGATTAAGCGTAGAAACTTTATTTGCGGATTCCTTCTCTTTAATCAATATTATTTAGGATTAGCTCTTAAGAGGATTTTATTCATTCTATTTAAAATTAATTATTTTCAAATCTTTCAATATTTTCTTCTATTTTGCGTGATAGGCCTTGGACTTAGCATAAATCAACTCTATCTAACAGTGTTACAAAACGATTTAACTGTAATCCTCATCTTACTTAGAAAGCTAATCTTCTCTGATACTAATTAAAACTATTGTGATGATAATTTCTTACAAATAAAGATCAATCACTTCTATATATCAGGATTTATCACTTTTATAATTCATTATAGAATGATTTAGAATGCTGTTTAATCTATTTTATCTACATAGATTAAAATATAGCAAAAAGGATTAAATAATTAGTAGAGACAGTATTAAATATCTTCGTGCATTTGCTTTACTTAATAAAACCACGTCTCTGAATTTACTTGATGCATTCATTTTTAGTTGACATATTATATAAGAATATTATAATAAGTACATTACTATTCACGCTACAAAAAGTATTCTCTTAATAAATTAATGATATTAAACTGTAACTGCTTCAGTAGCCTAATTTTTAAATTGAGATAATTAATAACAATAGGTTAGAAATTGATGATACTATATTTCAAGATGGACCTTCTCGTTAAATTGTCGTTTCTATTTTTTCCCGTTTATATTATTTATTTTCTATTAAATATTCTAAGATATAAAATAGTTCTTAACAAAAGACAAAATATCTGCTGATATAGCGCACAATTAATACTAATGAAGTTCAGCGAAGTTAAGCGAACTATTACAAGTGAAGTTAACTATTTAAACAAAATTTATGTTATTAAAACAATTATTTTTTGATGAAATTACTTGATTTATTTAATGATTAGAGCAGTTTATACGGAAACTACATAAGGAAATTATAGGAACCAAAATTTTAAGAATTTTAGAAACTATTACTATCTCAGAAATCATATTTTTTTTACTTTAAATTAATTAATAATAAATTATTTATTTTAAAATTTATTAGCCAATTTTCACTGCTTAAAAATTATTATTGTAAAGAACTGTTATCAGGGAAGACTCATCTGTTTATATATAGTATATAAAATGTCTATTATATTCTTAATTAGTCGTATCATAATTCATATAAAAATAATGAATATAATTGATAATTATCGTTATCACAGTTATCGAAATGTTTTAGTTTTTAATTATTGAATTTGCGTACCTTATCTACTGGATGACAGTAATTACAAAATTTAATGTTGCTTAGAGATATAGCCTATATCAGTCCAAATGAAAACAAATTCGGTATAGTGACATTACAGGACATACAGAAGACATTTCTATTAAAAATTTGTACCGAAACTCACGAGTATGGAAGTTTTGTCACTGCAGTTTCATTTGTGAGAACGCTTAAAAAAAGTTCATTAAAGCATGCTGTAAATATGACAGCCTTGAAAGATAATATCATAGTATACGTGAGAAGCATCATAAAGGATCATGACATGTGGCCGTTGAATACAACGTTCATCGTCTTAAGGTTCTATATCGTCAAAATGGGGACCACATTGAGCAGCATCCCTTGCATCGCTAAGTTGTTTGTAAGGCATGAGTGTCATGTGCAAATAAAATGTTAGTTGCGACTAGCGCTAAAATAGCCATAATGATTGTTTCAGTACAATTTTTTTTTTCTACGAAAATTATTTCCAAATATGTTGAAATGTCACCGTACCAGATTTGACTGCATTTCGATTGCTAAAGCCCTATTTACACAGCATTAAACAGATATACTTTAATTATGTTAACCCGGTATATTAATTTCATTATTGTAATTTATCTTATATTTCTATTCATATATTGAAAATATATGTACTGTAATATGTTAATCTACATATACGAATAAAATTCAAATCAAGTCCTTACTTCATTAATTTATCATTAAAAAGATTTTAAAAACAGTTATTAAAGTCGATGTATAATGTAATCGATATGAGACATGAAATATTAATGATAAATAGCACTAATGCTCTTGGATAGGCCTAATATTAAAGCTTAATTAATTGTTAAATTCTTAATTAAGCATAAATTAAGGATCGAATAAACAAATTCCTCTTTTCAGAAAAAAATATTCGTATTTATTACAGTATTGAAAAATATATGTGTTTGTACAGTACATAATTTAAATTTTAATATTTAAAACTCAATATTTATATAATTTAATTAAAATAAATAAATATAGGGGAGACCGGGGCAAGATCGGCATGTTAAGCTTTACTTACATTTTGTGTAATAAATACTGCTGTAAACTGAAAAAAAAGCTTTGCATATTGTCTATTGGAATGTTACCTTACTATAGAACTGGTTAAAATCAGTTTGGAAATAAAAATAATTAAAATAATTACAACTTTACAAGAAGAGAGAAATTGACGAAGTTGCCCCGGGTATAGGGGCAAGATCGGCAACTTCTCTCTTTTTGTAAAGTTGTAATTATTTTAATTATTTTTATTAAAGTTGCCCCTGGTATAGGGGCAACAGTAATGGGGCAAGATAGGCACGTATATAAAATTATGTTATTAACAATGTATAAGTTGGAATTCACTATTAAAACAAAGAAATACAAATCCAACACCCATTTAATATTATTACAACGAAATGCAAGTTCAAAGACATATATACATGAATAACAAATGCAAACATGTTTTCATTTATCATCTGTTTGATTTTTATCCTTTGCTTCTAATGTGGCTTTATGTTGCCGATCTTACCCCGCTAGTCATGATTTCGAAACATTAAGTACAACCCTGAGAACAGAATGCCAAGCCACGATCTGGCCACGTGAATAAGTTGAAGTTACATCCTTCTAACAGGAAAAGTAACTTTCGTTATCATGGAATTATAACAAAACCTGCCAATTCAATATAAATGGAAAAAAAATATTATATGGAATTGAACGAAAATGAAAATTTGCTTGATAATTCAACTACGCTTGTTGGAGAACAATAAAAACACTACACTCAACAAGCCACCAATAAAACTCAACTGCCTAACCTATAACCAAAGTCTCCTTTTAATTTGTTTTTAAAAAAAAGCGCTTGACAAACTTGCCCCGCATGCCGAAGTTGCCCCGGTCTCCCCTATATATAGGCTATATATTATATATATGCATGATATTATATATTGATTTATTTATTTTATTTGAAAATTAAAAATTGATTATTAATATGATTGTGTTGATTAAGCTCTAAAAATGAATATGTTAAAATATTAGAGTATGAACTCCAGTATTTCAACATATAATTATTTTTTAGAGATTAATAATGTATTCTTGTAATTTTAAGTAATATAATATTTTTACCGATTAATTAAAAAGTTATTAGGCAAAAGTAATATCTTCTTTTAAAAAGTACATTTAATTATAAAATATGATATAATTAAATTCTTAAATGCAATGTCAATTCGATTTGTTATTGCAAATTAGTTAAGCTTACAAAATACAATAAAACTCATTATATTAAGATTATTATTTATTATTATTTTAATGTAGTCTATTGGGATTAGAGAACAAAAATATATTTTTTTCTGAAATGCATTCTATTTTTAATGAAGAAAAAAATGTTAAATTTTATTTTTAACATTGTCTACCTTTCATTTATGTGTATAATTACTTCATCACATGGTAATTAATATTTATCTCTATTTTTTAATCTAGAAGCAACTAAAATATCTGTAATACTTGATGAAGGAAGAGGTTTTACAACGAGTAGTTCGTTAACTTTGTATCCGAAATTGGAACAAAGCGGAACCACTTATACTTGCGAAGCTTTTCATTCAGCTCTAGAGAAACCACTTAGAGCAACAATCGCTGTTGGTGTTTTATGTAAGTGATTCTTTTAAAACTTTTACACCGATGGGTAATTAAATTTAATTAAATGAAAAGCTTCAGAATTTTATATTTACTATTTGGTAAAGATAATGTATGTAAACGGTTTAAAGTTTTTAAATTTGTAAATGTGTTAGAATGCAAAATAGCGTAATATAGCATAAAATATAAAGAAATTAATATAAAGTAATATGGACATTTCACTCTGACGTTCCTTAGTAGGATAAAAACATAGTAAACAAAAATACAACTATATTTTCTATCAGATCCGCCAAGTCCTCCAATAATCCAGGGATATGAAGACGATGACGTAGTTCAAGTGGATGACATGGTGGTTCTTATTTGCATATCTCGAGGAGGAAAACCAGCACCACGTATTATATGGTACCGGAATGATATACTTATAGACATGACACATTCGAGCACCGGTTACGAAACGACAAACACTTATACGTTTACAGCAGGAATCGAAGACAATAACGCTGTTTATCGTTGCGAAGTTTCGAATGCTCTTACAAAAGAGCCCTTGAAGAAATCTGTTACAATTCGAGTATTGTGTAAGCTTATTATTTTATTTATAAAATACATCTTTTACTCGAATTTACAATTATATATCAATATATTTAAATATATAATATAAAGTATATAATAAACATATATATACTTTTATAAAACTACTGATATTTTGTTATTCTTTACCAATAAGAATAAAACTTAAATAGCTTAAATATAAATATATATTTATATTTGAGCTATTAATTATTCAAAATTAACAGAAAATAACACATTGAAGAACACAAATACAACAAACAAACGCTCGTTTGTTTGTTGTATTTGTGTTCTTCAATGTGTTCTTAAATTATATGTAACATGTAACTGTTGTAACATGTAATTTGTTTGTTGTATTTGTTGTAGCATGTAACTGTTAGTATGTCTGTCGTATACATTCATTTATTGTTGCTTTTTCTTTTGAGAGAGATCGTTAATTTCTTTCACATTTTCTTTAACTTTATTCCAATGTTTAATTAGTTGAAAGATATAAATGCAGATATTTAGGTATTAGTAATATAGTATTAAAAATTAAGTATTATAATATTAAGTGTCATTATTAAAAACCTTTAAATCCATTCAATAATTTATTATCATTAATGAAATTACATGTTAACGTTTTATCCACATGCTTTATTGTTAAAATATTGTGTTTAATTTTTCATAACAAATATATCAATAATTTTTAACAGATAAAAAATTCTAAATTTACATTAAAAAACAATTAACTTTTTTATAAATTAAGAGTACTTAACTTATCTATTAGCATTTTCCCCTTTTCTCCTTGTTGTTGGAGTACAGAATTTCAATGTTCTATATATATGATACTAAAATAATTTACCTTTTAAATGTTTTAATTTACCTTTTAAACTTATATCTTTGTTTCATTCATGTTTATTTATCATTACTCAATTATATAAATAATTAAATAAATATAAGTTTATTTATTTATTAACTTTATATTAAGTATAATAATGATCGAAATTATTGCGAAATTATATTTAATTTGCCGTTTTAAAGTTGATATTTCTGTTTGCTTGGACTGATTGTTGACCACGCAATTATATTTTTGTAATTATTTTATGTAATTTATGAAAATTAGAATGAGAAAATTTTAAAATTATTTTAATTTCGAATTCTGTTTAAATACATCAATTTTTCGAGTTTATTTTCTTATTATTGAATTGTTAATCTTTTGTAGTAATTCGAGTAATTCAGTAAATTTGTTTTTAATAAAGATTAAATAAAATTCATTTTGAAGCGAACCTTAACATTAATTATAGCATAAATCTCTTAATTTAGTTCAAGTACTTGAGAAAGTATTACTGACGAGATGATATTTGACAATATCTTAAAAACCAATTGTATCAAAATATTGCAATTTAGCTGCATTAGTGAGTTTTAACATTATTTAATAATGTTAAAATCACATTTTCAAATATGTAATAGCAGGATTCCAAAATGTGAAACTTTGATGCAATGTAAACAAATAATGAACACTTATTCGCTATTACACTCATATTTGTTGCTTACAAGTTAGAAACATTTGAACATGAATACTTCCTTCAGAGTTCCAAGAGGAAAGTATGTAATTAGGAATAATTTTATTCTTAAAACGATAAAATTGCAATGCACAGAAAGTTGACTAAAAAGTAAAAGTAAAAAGTAAAAGTAAATTGGTGTAAATAAGTAAAATCAGGGTTTTTAAAGCGATATAGTTACAGTGTTAACTGAAAAATAGTACATAGTTAACTGAAAAAGAATCTGTAATGTAGACAGATTTAATTTGGGTGGTTAGTTTTGGCACATTTGTTTGTCAAAAGCTTTCTTTTGTATTGGATAAATTGCTTTACATTGATATTAATTTTTTTAAAAATCATTATTAGGTAACATTCATATAATTATACCATAGCTGATGTTTGGGTTTAAACAACTGTAATAAATAAATAAATGAAAGCACAAGAAATATCACAAGAAATACAAAAGGAAATATAATGAAGGAAAAAGAAATGATCATGTTACACTTTCTTTGAAATGTACTACAAAAATACGTTAAACAAATCACATATAAAAAGAACAAGTAAATAAATATACTGCAAAAAAAGCATTTGAAAATTATATCTACAAACATCAAAAGATAATCATATTTGACAACTGATTAGTAAATACTTTTTCCGAAATTTTTTTTATAAATATAGAAATAAATATATTTTTTTGATAAACTTTATATATTAGAGTTATTTGAGAGCAATTAATTTTAGTTGTCACAGCGATTCTTTAAATCAATTATCGCACATCACTGCTTTACCCTCTATAATGATGAATTTTTTAAATGGTTATATAAGTTAAAAAAACATTCACTCAGGCATCACTAAGCAACAGTTGCAACATCTAGCTCAGGGAGCGCCAAAGTGGTCAATATAACATTATTGGGGCTCGATTATCAAGCTTAAGCTAAGCATAAGGGGGAGCTAAGGATCAAGCATATCCGTCTCACTGATTGTCAGTTACAAAAATTATTATTAACAAATATACAAGAAACGAAAAAATAAAAATATAATAAAAAAATTGCAAAATTAAAAGAAATGTATTAAAATACTAAGTACAGTAATACATACTACTTACGCTACCCGACTTACGCGAACCCGGAGTTACGCGATTTTCAAATCGCGTCGATTCCTCTTTTGTTTGAGCGCCACGCAACCCTTGATTACTCACTCCCCCACACCATTTTTCAGCTTATATGTTCGGACGTGTCGCGCGGAATCGACGCATAGCTACAATTTATTTTGTGTTATTTATTTCTGTGTTTGTTATATCTACGGTGACTTGAGAGATTCAATGTGCTGATTTCTTGTAATTGTGAACGAATCAAGAGACAAGATAAGATTAACGAGAACATTTATTAGCTTACGTACATCCGACTTGGATTTTACACAAATTGCGAAATTATACCCCGACTTACGCGGTTATCGCTCGGTCCCACCTATCGCGTAAGTTCAGGGTATTACTGTACTTTGTTTTGTTTGTAACATAAACTTTTTGGTGGGGGTCAATGTGAGGTTTCGAAAACTTGTAGGGGGTCGACGATCAAAAAAGTTTGCCGACCCTTGCTCTAGTTGGTATGATGACAGTTTTGTTTCTGACATGTTAGAGCTTCACCTGACTACTCCTACTTCAGAAACCGTGAGTAATGTTAAATCTCGCTGATATAATGAAATGAATACTATTTAATTTCTATTTGTTATTAGCAAATTACGTAAAACATATTTTGAAATTATTCCTAAGGAAGTAAATACTGTACATTCATTAACAGAAGTTATACACCCAGACAGAATTGTCAGATTACTGCAAAAGTTGACATACAGCTATACCTCAGAGTTATGCAAATACTGCGAGATATTGCCAACAAAGTATCTTAAAATCCTATGAAACCTCAGTATTCTATAAAGAAATTCGCGTTTCCTATAAAATTTTAGAGACCAAATGTTTAGAATTTTCATAAAAGATAATGTTTGGAGGTTAAGACCTCCAATCAACATCTTTTATAATAAAGCTGCATGGTAAAACTGTCTTTCATTGTAAAGATGTAAACCACAATTTTGCAGCAAGCTAATACTCGGCTGCACATAGCTAGGGTTTTCATGTTGCTTACACTTGCTTGACCTGCGTAGTCTCCAGACTTGTCACCCACTGAACATTTGTGGAGCCATATGAAAAGCCAGCTGCTGCCATCTATGAGGATGAAGGTTATGCAATAGTTGCAAAATCTGCAAAGTCAGACCTTTCGCAGGATAACATACCGTACCTATGTTGCATGCAAACCATATTGGCGCATGTATCCAGGCAAGAGGAGTCCTACACGGTACTAAAGTATTTTAAATTGTGCCATGTTCCACAGGAAATTGTCCCTTTGCGACGATATTCAAATCACTTATTACAAACGTCATTACTCGAACAAATACTGTTTCATTCGATTTCATCGAGTCCTTCTTGGTGAATAACATTTCTGTAAATCATGTTGTATGTAAGTCTAGAATATATTGTCTGGATACATGTATCATAGGATCGACATGCAGTCATATAGATACAATATAATATACTGCAACAGAATTTCCCCATGTATCATAGGATCGACATGCAGTCATATAGATACAATATAATATACTGCAACAGAATTTCCCACAGATATTACACCTGCCACTCCAGATCTCCAAACTCGTACATGGTCGAAGCTGGTGTCTTATTTGATCCCAGAAATGATCAATTGGCGACAAATCTGAAGACTGCAATTGTACGTAAATAAAAAATAACGGTATTTTTACATTTCTGAGTAATTTTGGTAATGATTACAAAAATTTCAATAAAATAAAACTCTGACCAATTTATTTAAAATAAATTGTATGATCTGTTAGTCTTGTAAATATTAGCAATTTGTTTTGTTTCGTTGCATGAAAGTACAGAATATTTCAAAAAAGAAAGTTAAGCAGTTTGAAAATGAGAAAGATTTTTTTAAGAAAGAGATATTAATGTTATTATTTAACAGAGATTAGGATATAAATGACGCAAGGCAATATTAACAGAAGGTCATCCTATTACATTTAAAATTAACTCAAGTAACTTAATCTCTGCTTTTAAACATAGCAACAACTCCAAATTTCATCATTTTAATTCTGTCCTTAAAGGACGTCATTTCATAAAAATTTTTATATTGTGCGAGCGATTTCGACTAAATAGTGGTAAATGATAGTACACTTTGAATTGTATAGAATACTCGGTGCAAATCGAATAAAATATTAAAAAAAGTGATTTTTAAAGTTATGTTTAAGAAGAAAGTTTTATTTTCAAAACATTTATTTGAACCTATTTCAATCTTGATAATAAAATGAAAAAATATAAAAGTCAGTTTAAAAAATAAAAGTTTTTTCAGGTTATAGGAGAGAAATTAAATTAACATCAAATGATTTTCGTTAGAAAATACGAGTATATTTTATTGAGGAATAAAGAATTACAAAAATTTATTCAAAGAGAATCTTCATTATCAGTCTTTTCTTGAGCCTCAACATGAAAAATATAATAAAGAGAATTATAAAGTTTTCCAAAATTCTCAAACATTCAAATAATTTAATATTTAATTTTAAAAAATCATCAAGAACATTCTAGAACTTTCCGAAATCTAAAACTCCAAATTTTTTTACGTCTTTCTTGCAGGCGCATGTCCTCATCTACATAAAAAACATTTACTAGTTTTATTTGATTACTCAATTTTCATTTTAATATCTGGGTTGGAAAAGGTTTAAATAAATGTTTAGAAATAAAAATTTCTCCATAGACAATATTAAAGAAAATCATTTATTTATTATTTTTACTGGATTTCCACAAAGTCAAAAATTTTAATATTTTAGTATGTTTTGTACCTGAAAGTGTTCTAGCACAAACCACAATTTAGTCGAAATTGCTCTCACAATGTTATAAAGATCCTTACAAAATGGCTTTCATTCTTTATGCAAAAAGTATTAGGTACAGTACAAGTTTCTTCCTTCATATTTTGTACATTTAAATACAAATAAAATATTTTCTATTTAAATCAGTTAGAAAGTAAAGTCTACTATTAAAAAATTATATTTTGTATGGTGATTTAAAATGTATGAAATCGATTCTCATCATAACAAAGATATATTTTTTAAATTTACATGATGCAGTCGGACCAATGAATTTGACTATAAGTGGACCCTCGGAAGCTAATCGTGGAGACACCATAACTCTAAACTGCAAGAGTGAATTTAGTAATCCACCCGCACAAATATCTTGGGTTGTGGACAATAATATCGTGAGATCTTCAGAAACGGATACTTATCAAACAGCCGAGGGATGGGTGACTTCATCTAATCTCAGCATTTCTATCAACAGGCAGGTAAATTCTTGGATTTGTCTGAATGGTAAAAATCGTGTTTATATTTTAATAATTGTGAACATGTTTTATAATATAATTTAAAATAAAGTATAAACTATATATTTCTTATATATTCTTTACATTTATAGAGTAATATAAAAATAGATATATATATAGGCCTATATATAAAATAAGTGATAGGCCCTATATATTTACAGGTGGTATTTAAAGTAAAATTTTTCAGGTTATCAATACTTTAATTCATGGATATTTAAATATAAATATTGTTATGAGATAAAGAAGGTGAGAAAGTCAGATTAATCAATAGTTCAAAAAATTTGAAGTAATTGTAATATAGGATCTAAACTTATTATTTTTTTAGCTATGTATTACTTTAATATACTGTAATTTCTTAAGCATGAATTTTCTCGTAATTTCATTCATTGTAAATTACTTCTCTTTAGAATGAGCAGAGTAAATGTAAGAATTTCCATATATTATAAGTTAAGAAGTCTACTATTAACTAACTCCCTATAGTTTGGAATAAGTTAACGGGTTTTATTTAAGTCAATGATAAAAAGATATTACTTCCTGTTTGTCAATTCAACCATTACTAAAGTCTTTTATAAAAACCCAATTAATTTTCTATTATTTGCCTTTTGTTAAGAAATTCCATAAATTCAAATAAGATTCACGTCTCCTTTTCCTCATCACTTGTTGATGAATATTTGTAAAACAATGTTTAATCGCGATTTTAATGAATGTCAGCATGATTTTTTTACACATTTTATCCGTCATGTCGAGTTGATGTTTATGTTATAAACCTAAGGAATTTTACACGAAATACGTCTTACATCTACATTATCGTTTAAGTGGAAAACAGATCAACAGAAGTTCTTTTTTATAAATTAAAATTTTAATTTCAAAAAGTTTTTTATTTTATAATAATTATATTAGTTAAACGGACACAATAAATCATTCAAAATCAATTAATATAATCTTTATATATTAATTTTAACACCAAACTTATCAAATTTGTTATTGAACGTATTGTATTGGTTACGAATGACAAATCTAATTTTATAAAAAATAAATAGATGATAAATAAATAAACGAATGACACTTTTTGTGTCCTATCGTATTAGACGTGAGTAAAGAATAAAACGACTGTTATTTGTTTAGTTTAATCATTATTCTTTATATATATATAATACATACAATTGTAAGAAAATCTACTATATTATCATAAGAATGTTTCGGGTGTTTAATAAAACTTTTAGCCTTTAAAAATGATAAAAGTTCATTGAATTAATTGATTTAGGAATGACAAATATATAGTAACAAATACTAATTTTATAGTGACGATTACATCTTTTTTATACATGTTCAAATATAATCAGTATCTTTACTGACAATGTATATCAGTAATTGTTTTCTGAAGACCAATCTGTCAAATTTTTAATAGAATATTATAAGTGAAAAAATTCAATATGAAAGTTCTCATAAGTTTACTTTACTTTATTGAGTTTAAATTTTAAGAGGAAACATAAAAAGAGTTTCAGTTTAAAGGTTGTCGGGATAAAAATCGTCTGGCGCACGGTTTTCCCGCGCTTTTCCATTCGTTCAACAAACGACGGTTGTCGCCATACAGCAATCGGACCACTTTTGAAAACTCGACCACTGATTGGTTGAGAGACATCACACCATCGGCGGACGTAATGTAGCGCTCCTAAGTGCTGATTGGCGGAATCCAATTCTTCTTCAATCCTATAAAAGGATTGAGTTGTGGCGGGAAGTTCAGTTCACCGTGGACTCAGAAAGTGGACTCTCGTTTGGTCTTAGTTCGCCTAAGCTGGTCCCGAAGCTTGTCTCGTCTCGTTGGACTGTAAAGGACTTTAGAGTTAGTTCGTTGCAAGGTGTCTTTTCGACGGACCTGTTGTAGTGGATAAATGTGTTAAACTTCGTTATAATTAACGTTTTGTAAATGTTTGTGGTGTGAACTTTGTAACTGTACATACGTTTATTTCAATTTATATATGTTTTGAATTTTTAATCGGCGTATGTGTGTGTTTTGAACTTTACTAAGGTTAACTTACTCAAATATTTAAATAACGAGGTTATATAATATGTGTTTAATTCATATGAAACAGAACAGTTATTAGCTTTTCATATTTGCAAATTTCAAGAATGTCATTCGTTGACATAAAAAATACATACAGTATTTACATATTTGAATTCAGTTCGATATGAAGCATATCCGTAGTTCCTAGAAAAGTAAGTATAGATCAGTGGTGCGCGGCGACATTTGATCATAGGGAAGCTGTGCCAGCCCTGGATAGAATCATTGAAAGCAATATACGATATATTGGTTGTTGCATCCATGAGCGTGAGGTTGGTGCTCTGTAAAGCGCATGTATAATCTGGCTGGTTTACACGTTTCAGATATTTTTACCGTTGAAGCTATACCGTATTCGACAATACAGAGCTTCCATTAGGAATATGCATGTACGAATTTATATTCGTACATGCATATTCCTAATGGCAATCTTATACAATATCAATCTTAAATTGTTTTTCACGTGTAGTCTAGAAATTTGTAATAAGATACATAATGAGATTATAATAAAATGTTAATTTTAATTAATTGAAACTACGTTAAAATATAAAAATAATCGCACAATAGGTATTTATATTTTACAAAATACAAGGGAAGCGGCGCTTCCACACCTTATATGGATGACACGCCACAGGTATATATCTATGTAGAGAAGAAACTATTGAAAAAATAATGTAAACGAGTTTTCATTACGGTTTATTATTATTATTATTGTTTGGAATTGTAGAAATAGGCCTGTAGATGTTTTATGAAATACTCGGACTCAAAACTCGAACGTTACGGACCTGTTAGATCAATAAAACTTTCTAAGAAAATGCCATTCACTGAGAAAACATTTGTACGAGAACAAGTTATATATAATCAGTATTACAAACAAGAGTCTTGTGTTGTCTTATACACGGCTGCAATATCATGGTATAATTTGTAGTCAAAATTTATCGCATTCCTCTTTTCTGCCAATTTTCAATCTGTTTTTCTTATAAAACTATGAGAATTTTAAAATTAGAAATTTTATTATACGATCTATTGTACTCTTAATTGGAAGATTTCGTTACAAGAAATAAATAATGAAATATTTTATTGAACTTATACAAAGAATTTCATTAACTTACAAGAAATAGAATATCTATTTGAGACAAATGGTAATATATTTTAGAATAATTACACCGAATTATAAAAATATAAATACCCTGAAAAACAAAAATATTCACATTTATTATAGTTGCTACAGGTAATGTTCAAAAGGACAAGAAAGATCCTCCTCAAAAGCAAACTCTGAGATAAAAGAAGCAAAACAATAAACAAACCATGGACGAACAGACAATTAATTGCAAAAATATGCGTTTTTTTATATTTATTTAAAAATATATAATTTGAGCATAACATGCAAATACATATTATTAAATGTATGATAAAAATAAAAGCAAAAATAATGAATGTATTTTCCAAATAAGAATGTTTTTTTTAAACTTTTAAACAGCTTATCTTTTCTTTAAAAAAATGAGGATTACTTACAAACGAAAGCTTCTTAAATATAGTCCATATTCTAAGAATATATTAAAGGACTCCAAAGTACTACAATACATTGTTAGAGTGTAATATCAGTAGCAGTTGTCATATCAAAAGAAGATAAATAGTTTTCTGTAAAAACTACTTACCATTTTTAATATAACAATTATATTAATGATCTAAATTGACTAGTATTAAAAGGATACTTTTTAAATGAATTACTTTAATATTTAAAATAAACACTGCAAATTTATATCAAGAAGCTAGTTTTCTTTTTTATAAATCTTAACTGCTTTATGAGGTTTAATCGCTCTATTATGGGAAGAAATGCACGTGTTTCGAGTTTTCTTGGTACTAATCAATTAAATTAGTGTAAATATAATTCTAAACATGTTTGAATTGTCTAAGTGTAAAAAATTGGTTGTTGCCACTAGAAAATTTAAAAAAAAAGTCCTAAGGAGCTGTTGTGTTTATTACTACATGTTCACCACGTTTCGTTCGATTCGAGACTTGAACGTTTGGCCCTCTCCTTGTGAGTTTCAGACCAACCAACCTATATTTACACTAAAAGAATTATGTTTGTACAAATTGCATACAGGTTTTAAAAACTGTATAAAATCGAATATAGTGTATTTCTAGGTGTAATCATAAAAATTAAATATTTTTATGATTACAACTAGAAATACACTATATTCGATTTTATACAGTTTTTTAAGTAATATATGATTAAATATTTACCTATCGTAACAATACACTATGAAAGTACAAAGGCAATTTTAAATTGATTGATTGATCTAGTTACGTAAAAATTTTTTCAAAATGTATAAAATGTGTGTTAATAAATTTAATAATTTTAAGTAAAAATAAACTATGACCGGCGTTAATTACATTTAATAAGTATATAAATGTAAGTATAAAAGTATAAGTATATTTAATAAGTATATATTTTTTGCCGAAACAGTAGCCTAAAAAGGAAGGTCGTCTAGGAAACTTTTGTGAATTATTTTTAAGGATTGCTAATGGTATAGAAACGGCGAAAGGATAGACAGAAGCAAGGTTTTTTACCTTTGTGAATATGTCGTTTTGTATTTATATACTTATTAAATTTAATAATATTCACTTTTCCATGGTTTGATTCATTGTTGGGTATGAGGGAGGATCTAGGGCCTAAGTCCTCCCCATTGACACAAAAAGTAAAAAAGGATAACAGTTTCCGTTCGAACTTCAAAAAGTTTTTACCAACATTTATGATGATTGATATTAATATAGTATATTGGATTATCGCAATACAACTTTTACACACTTCTTAATACTGTATAAGGTACGTTTTAATTATTCAAACAATTTTCATTTTTGAGTTAGCTTTCCTTTGGATTCTTCTGCATTCGCTGCTGGT